ATCGTCACGTCACGTTGCAAGGTACCAGATTCAAGCATTCTTGTCTGTATACTGGATAAATTTAATCACAACATTCAAAAGTGGTGCTTTTGTGATCTCGGCACTTCCAGAGATTGCTTAGGGTGACAGTTATGTGGGATTGGAGATGTGACCTTTAAAGAGAAAGGCTGAAGCAAAATCTTCTGAATATTCAGTATGACTTGCAAAAAACATGCAATACGGTGACACACAAACACGATGCAGGACAACTGCAGAAGAGTAAAACACAATGATCAGTCAGTCTTTATGTACTTTTATTTTTCTGAAAATATGAGTCCTGCTTGACTTGAGATGCTGGTAGCGTAGTATTAATTGTGGTTATTGAACATCATCTCAAAATCAATCTGAAGTATTGTCAGCGAGTTGCAACATGTGGTCTGGTGATACATTATATCCTGATTTCTGTCAATATTGCCACCAAGAGGTTACTCAGGTCCGCTTGGTCTAGTTCAGCACTAAGACCCATAAAATGACGTCAGAATAAAAAATATTTTAATTATTGTTTTAAATGTTTTGAAGAATGTAATGTCCCAGGTTAATGGTGGCTACAGAGCAGATGTATTACTTACAGATTTTATAAGCTTGTTCCCAAGTCTAGCTGTGATCATCACTGGCAGAAGGTAGAAAAAACATGACACAGGACCATGCTGTTAAGATTTGTCCTTCCTGAAAATATCACTTATATTTTTAGAAATTCTTTACAAATTTGAATTTTGTTGGATTTCTTTGGTTTAATGGTGTGGTTTGGGAAAAGTTCGCTGGGAACAGGTTGATGAGCCTTGATGTTTGGTAGCATGTGCAGTGAGTGTAACCATTACATACAGACTTTTAAAGTGCACTGTCAACATCACAGGGGCCTCTGTGGAAGATTACCTCTCCAATATGGCTCACATAGTAATTCCATCATTAAGTGGCTAACTCTATCACCAACAGATGGGCGGCAGAGGCAGGTATTGATCTACATAATCTTTGAACTTGTGGTAATTTTAGCTATGGCCTGGATATGCAGAATAGCTGAATGTCATAGTATACGTGGCATCTGTTACTACTATGAAATAGATCTGCTGTGTTTGTGGTGAAAGTGAGAGCTGTTTGTCATAAGGACTTACTGAACTTTGCTAACTTATCAACTACATGCTAATAAGCTAGATATCGACTTCAAAACAGTAGTTTCCCTTCATAATTTCAATGGCTTAACATTGCAAAATATTAACATTTATTAAGTATTATGTTACCTTGCATCTTTGAGCTAATCCTTCTGATTGGTTTCTGAATTGGTGATATTTTCCCAAATGCTGATAAATTTAATATACCGGTACGGAAATGCCAGAAGTCTATATTTATGCGAATACATTGATGTGATTGTTAGGAATTCAAAATGCCATTTAGAAAGTGGTCAGATTTAACATACGTTATTTTTGGGATTATGTATTCTCAGTGAAATATCAGATTCTAGTACATGCACTTAGAAGCAGGATGAAGCCAAACTCACTCACTCACACAAAGCATATTGTGAAGGGACGGGCACTTGTCATATCTAAATTGCAAACCAGTGTTTTCATATTTTTTGGTCATGGAGCTAGTTCTGGATTGACCGAACATGAATAAAACAATCATCAGTTTTACGATTGCTGCAATACCTGGCTTCTCTTTTAATCCAAAATGAATTATGGTGTATTTGGTTTTGTATGTGTCTGTCTGTAAATAATTCCTACTAAACAGTTCCTTTGAAACTCATCAGTATTATTTTGAAGCCTTCAGATTTCATTGGATATTTTGAGGATTGCATTCCTGTATTTAGCTATCAACATCCAGGATGGTACAACCTGCTGTATTCAGCTATCAGCATCAAGGATGGTGTAACTTGCTGTATTCAGCTATCAACATACAGGATGGTATAACCTGCTGTATTCAGCTATCAGCATTCAGGATGGTTTAACCTGCTGTATTCAGCTATCAACATCCAGGATGGTATAACCTGCTGTATTTAGCTATCAACATTCAGGATGGTATAACCTGCTGTATTCAGCTATCAACATTCAGGATGGTATCAACATTCAGGATGGTATAACCTGCTGTATTCAGCTATCAACATTCAGGATGGTATAACCTGCTGTATTCAGCTATCAAGATCCAGGATGGTATAACTTGCTGTATTCAGCTATCAGCATCCAGGATGGTACAACCTGCTCAGGCAAGAAATGGCTCTGAAATTCACATGCTTACCCTTGAGATCTGCCAATGTTTCTAAATGAAAAACTTTTGAGGTTTTACATGTTTGATGTAGACAGTGCAAGAGTGAACTTCAAGGCAAAAAAACGGCATTGATAATATCCTGAATTGAATTCATTTATTGTTGCTGGCTTTGCTTGAAGTGGTCCATAACATCAGGGTGTCTTGGGACACCTTGGCTCAGACAGTGTAAAGGGAGAGAACTCTAATGGCCTCCTGAGTCAATAGTTCTGGCACTGAGGTAGACAAGGTGTTTGGCTAACCTTTCAAGCTGGCAACAGAAGCTGTGGGGCCACGCCCTCAGTCTAACAATAGATTCATTCCACCACTGGCTTCGTTTCATTATGTGTGTAATGTCTGCTACCCCCCGAGAGTCAGGAAATGAAACCCATCACCTTTCCATTGCCACATTTAAATTCATAGACATAAGAATCCACAAAAAGGCAGATTATTTGAAGAGGATCCCTCTAAAATTGCTATTATCATAGTCCAATGTTTTTGGGGTTGTTGATGGGGTGGGGGTATCCTTGAGACGATCTTTAGGTACAGAGAGACCACCTTTTGTACTAGACATATGCTATACACCTGGCAACCAATTCTTAGGTTGATATGCCAAGTTTCAACAAATTGCAACAAAATTACTGTTAAAAAATTGCTTTAAACCCATCCACCTGCTATTTCATTTCATATTTTTATCGAGGACCTAATAAATTACCAACAAATCCAGGATCATTCATATTCCAGACCAAATGACTGGCCATTTTTTGTGAGTGAACATATGCCGGAATGCATGTTCCTTGTGTGAGTGGCAGCGTTTATAGGAGCAAGATACCATCAGTGCCACACATCAGTATTGGTCACCAGTACTGTGATAATGTCGATCAGTTGGTTATATGGTGGTTTTACCCAAGCAGCAGTATGAGTTCCCAGTGCCCTGCTAATGAACAATGAGGTGGTTATAATGATATTATATAGTGCTGCTGCTATGTGCTCTTGTTTTCAACTGCTTGTCGTAAGAGGTGACTAACGGGATCGGGTGGTCAGTTTCGCTGACTTGGTTGACACATCATCGGTTCCCAATTGCGCAGATCAATGCTCATGCTGTTGATCACTGGATTGTCTGGTCCATACTTGATTATTTACAGACGCCGCCATAAAGCTGGGATATTGCTGAGTGTGGTGCGTAAAACTAAACTCACTCACTCACTCACTCACTCACTCACTCTTGTTTTCAACCACTTGGTAAGTCTGCACAAGAATGTGTCCTTACTCCCAATGCTTGTTGTTGGAACTGACTTATGAAGATGAGGTGGTTTCATTGGCTGATTGTGTGTTGCTACAACCTTATGGGCTCATGGTTTCAACCACTTGATACTTTTAGGTGAAAATATGTCCTTAGTCCCAATGCTAGTTGTTAAAGTTGCCTAATGAAGATCAAGTTGTTACAATGGCTGGTTACGTGTTGCTGTGCCGCAATGTGCTCATGGTATCAACCACCGGTTTGTTACCTTGGTGATACTGGGAGCGCTGCTACTTGTTAAGCCGAAAAATTAAGATCAGGTGGTCTGACTGTGTCATTGGACCCTGATGCATGGATGGTTACTTATTGTCACTAATGTGCCTTCTCCAGACCCAATTGTGTGACAGTCAGCTGTGATATTACATGAATATTGCAGACCAACTTTAAGTAGTCACTTGTTTTATTGATGGTCCTGTCTAATATACGACTCGTGAAGGTCCAGGTTAGAATATTGATCTTCAGTAACCCATGCTTGTTGTAAGAGGCGACTAACGGGATCGGGTGGTCAGGCTCGCTGACTTGGTTGACACATGTCATCAGTTCCCAATTGCGCAGATCGATGCTCATGCTGTTGGTTGTCTGGTTCAGACTCGATTATTTACAGACCGCCACCATATAGCTGGAATATTGCTGAGTGTGGCGTAAAACTAAACTCACTCACTCACTGTCTAAAATACATCACAATACTGACTGACTGACTGACTGAGTTTGGTTTTACGCCGCTTTAGCAATATTACAGCAACATCACGGCGGGTACATCACAATAATACACACCTAGCATGTACAGAAAAATGGAACAACCATGAAAATAATTCTATATAGCAGACTAGTACAGACACAAAGCAATAAGAGCTCAGCTAAAGAATTCAATGTGTTGAGTCAGCTTATGAACTTCAGGATTTAGTCTGTCTTGCTTGTTAACATGAGGGAAACGATCCCTTATGGAGACCATGTGTATCCACCTACACACAGAAACTAGGCCCACATGACGAGGGAGGCAGCTTTGTGCTGCAGTCAAACTATCACACCCATCCAGAGGTGGGAACTGCCTTGTTAAGCACAAACACTTAAACAATCACCTGGGACAAATGTCAGGAAGGGAGATTTTTAAGTCCGTTAAGTGCTTATTGTCTTTAGTACAGCCTTTTCTGGGTGTTTGAAACTTGTGTGAAAAATGCAACCACTCCTGATGTAAACTATGTCCTTTTGTTAATGGAAGCGTGATGTCTTTTCTTCACATGTTACTTGTTGTATGAAGCAGTAGGAATATTATTCATCTTGGTTGGTAGGCTCAATTGGCAACACCGTTGTTTGTGGTTTATCATGCTGTACAATTACAAACACCAGTGTTACACCTACTGACTCTCAGGGTGTATACATAAATGAGACCGGTCGTTGATGTTAATTCCTTGTTGTGTTTTTGTTCCAGTGGAAGGACGTGACACCAGAGAACTTGATGGACTCGAAGCTGAAGTGTGTGTTTGATATGCCAGAGTCAGCACAGCAGGTTAGTAGCCCAGTGTTATCTCAACGCCTTTTTGGTTTGGCTTACTTTTTATCAGATCCCTGACCTACAATTTATCGAATATGGGGACAAAAATCATTGTGAAGAGTCTTTGTCCTTCCATTTCCAGTCCATGACTCAAGCCTGTCATTTTTGGCACAGACTTCAATTCTCTTTGTCAAATTGCAGTAATTTGAAAGTAATAGAGGAGTACTTTAACAGGAGAAAGTCAGTTGGGTTTTGGGGTGGGAAGTGTCCGGGAAACAATGGTTGGTTCCACACAGGTGACCCCATGGACTGGGTGGTCAGGTTTGGTGATTAGGGATGTTGGATTGTCTGGTCCAGTCTGGATTATTTACCAGGCTGCCATCATGTAACAGAAATTAAATAGCCAACAAAAAGAACAAAGGGAAGTAACCCTAAAACAATTTGCTTTGTTGATAATGCTGATGATTTAGGAGATTGCTATATTTATTATTTTGTTAAAAATGGGTTTAGTTCACCACATAGGTATGCACTTGAATAATCTGAGAATGCCTTGAAAATTCTGAGTGAAACTACATCTTTTATTAAACTGGAACAGTGTTATTATCGCCTTGAAAAAGGCCTTGAATGAGGTGGTGTAAGTTTAATAGAATCATGTCTTGAGTGATAGATAAAACTCATGCAGTCAGTCCTCTGATGAGAGCTATCACCTTCGTGTTGCAGTCAAGTGCGGCCGATGTGGAAGAAAAGCCGAAGATTGTGCGTCCCTTGGAGACACAAGCGACTAAGCCAGCGGTAAGAATTCCACTTGAAGGCAAAGGGTCCTCACTAATGGGGGTACACACTGATCAGCATAAAACAAGTAAACAGACTATTGTAAATTTAACATGAGTCAGTTTGTATTGTGAAGATTTATGTCCAAATTGAGCTTTACTGTTTAGTATAACCATGCTAAACTCTTGTGAAAGCTGTATATATCTAGATCGAATGGCATTTTGAAAACAGTTTGTGTTTGGAATATACCAAACCCAAATTACACGAATGAAACAAAAGCAGCTGTCCTTATGCTTCTCTTTAAATATGGACACTCTGCATTGACACTGGGGTGATTTTGCATTATATATTTCACTTTTTACAAACCTAATTTGATACGGAAAACTATTTCACTTTTTACTAGCCTAAAGATATGAAGGCATTTTTAGCTGGACATTGTGCCCTGCCCCCTTTTTTTTTTTTTTGGGGGTGGGGGTGGGGGACCCTGCCCTTCTTTTAATGCAATAATTAATATTAACATTTGGTTGTTTGTATTTTATTTTTCATGTTGAAGTTAAGTGAATTAACTGTGCTCTTTGAGCCTTAAGAATCATATGCATGAATAATTTAACTTCATACTTGGAAATCGGTCATTGCATGCTCTTTTTGGAAAAGGGGTAACCCTTTGGAAATTCTCTCGACCTACCCTTTTTGGATCTTGAGGGAAACACTAATATGATAATGTGTAGTTGGAGACAACATATTAGTGTTCAGTCTCTGTTATGATATACAGTGGAAAAGTTAGTTTACTTAACATTTTTTACAAATATATGTGATTTGCAGAAGAATTGGTGAGTCTATGGTGTTTCTTTTCATTTTTCAAACAGGATGTTTGTTTGATTGATTCAATGCCCCTCGATTATGCCCCTCATGTGGGTGATCGCTAATTGAGTTATCCAGTCTCTTTTGTTAAGTAACTTACTTCCAGGGACCTGAGAAGGCGTTTGGTGCAAGAGTTGTATTGTTTACTTATCGAGTTTAGTTGATACCAGACTCTAATTGAGACTACATCCAATGAAGAGGGAAAAATACCAGGTCTGTTTAGTTGAGCAAGCACGGTTGCCACTGTATATGTGATATGCAAATATCATATAATAATTCTTTTCATTTTGCAAAGACTTATTATTGATTCAATAGTTTGGGAATTGGGATGTTAGGACATAACTTTATTTAAGTGGCTGCAAGATTTGTGTATAGACTGGAGTGTAAGATAGCAAACAAAGATGTGAAGTTGAGAATGACAGGAAATGATGGGAGCTGGGAAAAATACTAGTCTCTGAAAAGCACATATTTTACCTGAAAAGTTCATATATAAATATCATATAATAATTGATTCAAGGAGCCTTATCATGCTTCAGTTTGGAGAATTGGCTGTTAGGAAAGCTTAGATTTAACAATCGCTGATTTGTGTTGTGGAGACTGTACTTCTAAGATATATTTTCTTCATGGAGTCTGTGAATAGCAGGAAGACTATGGGCAGCTGCCTGTCCAGAAGGTGTGTGCTGTATGTTTGGGCTGTATGTGTGACTGTGGGTTACAGGTCAGCAGTTACACGGATCCCGAACTGAAGAAGGCAGTTGAAGACTGTTACAGGATGCAGGATGAGATCGGACAACTTAGGGACGAGAACAGCAGACTAAAAGTAAGAGCAGTCTCTTCCCATACCCTCTTTTTCAAATTTTATGATTATGTACAAATATATGTGGTAATGATCATGTACAGCAGGCTTGTAACCAACCTAGTCTGTCTTTGGGGATGAAATGGGGGTCAGATGGCCATGGGTGTGGATTGGTTGGTGCCAGTGTAGTCAAGTCTCTCTTATTCTACATATCAACAGATGGATGTAAGTTGATGCTCACTCTGTCACTCACTGGTTCACGGCCTCCTATAAAGATATGGAAGATCTTCAGTCCCCTTTCGCAAAGCGATCATAACGCTACGATTATCATAAGCCATTGTTATGCCATATGACTTATGACAGTCGTAGTGTTACGGTAGATTTTTGAAATGGGACCCAGATCGGCAGATGTGATTTTATTGTATTTCAGTTTTGTAGATTGAAGCTCATGATGTCAATCACTGGCTTGTCTGATACAGATACAAAAATAAATCAGTTGTTTAACGCAGCTCTCGGCAGTATTCCAACTATATGACGGTGGTCTGTATATAATCGAGTCAAGATCAGACTATCCAGTGATTGACATCAGGAGTATTAACCTACACATTTGGGATATAATGACATGCACTACCAAGTCAGTGAGCCTGATCTTCCAACCTGTAATTTATGACAAGTTTGAGTTGCTGAAGACCAATTCTAACTCAGATCTTCATGGTTTGCTAAGGACAGATAAAACTTGACTGTTCATGAGAAACTGTTGGCAAGCATTTTGTGTACTTAGAATCAAGAGTGAAGTGAATTACAGTCTTGTCATTCATGCGTTGTTTTCTTACAGGATGAGGGTGTCCGTCTGCGGAAAGTGGCAATAAAAGACACTGTATCCTCCACGCCCACATCCTCGTCCTCGTCGATGTCAACACAGGCCAACCCAGCCATGGCTCTCCCCCCAGTCGTATACATCATTGCAGCTGTAATACTAGGCTTCATTATCGGCAAATTTATCCTCTAATCTTATCAAACAAACAAAACAAGAAACTTTTAACAAACCCTATTCAGTTTCAAGGGGATAACCTGTATTCAGTTTTCAAGGGGAGACAATCCGGTCTGTTTGATTGCCTGGAGATTGAGTGTACCACTAGTGTAGGCGGTTGGCGGAAAAAACCATTGCCAGGATATGACGGCAAGATAATAGACCATCTCCAGGGTGAGGGCAGGTACAGGACATGATTCATTGTTGCACTGACGGAATAAATAATGCAAAAACTAAGGTTCTATTTGTGAGAATGTAAAGGCATTGAAATGTTGTAGATTTCCGCCAGTACTTTGAGTGACTGGTCGCTTGTATATTTCCTTGCTTACTGTGTAATTACGTTTTCCCCATGACGTGCTGTGTCAATAGGCATGTGCTGGATTCGAGTAAATTTGTGGCCAATTTAGATCATTTAATCGTTTAAGGCTCCCAATCGCTGTAATTTGACCTTTTGATTATTTTTTAATTTTTTTCTGTCATGTAACGTCTCTGAGTCTTTATGATTCTTTTCTCCCAAATTTGAATTAGTGTTCAGACAAATCTGCGGGAATGATTTTATGTACATAGGCATGAAGGTTGTTTTGAAAATTGTGAAACTGTTTGCAATTGTTTGTTTCCCATCAGCACATTACATAGAATATTTCATTTGAAAATTATATATCTTTGATATTCTGGTGGAATATTTTGTTTGAAAATTCTGGTCTGCATAGAAACATAATTAGACCTGCTTTGAGGCCAGATCTCACGCCTCAAGCCTGAAGCAATTGTCAGTAAAAATTCTCAACTTCGAGTTTGAAGTTCACAAAGTCACGTGTAAATGATATTGCTTTGCAGGGGTGGCCTGCATTTCACTGATAACAGTACCAATACACAAAAAAGGGTTTTATGTTAGTTTGGCCTCTGTGAAATACAACTGAATATATGAAAATATAGACTTTAAATAAAATCCTATTTGTGAAAAAAATTATGGTTTTTCCTTATTTTTCTGCTGATTTAGTTTTGAATCCTAAATAAATCCCTGATGCACCAAGGTAATTACTTTTATTAGAGTGGAGTAAGAAGGTAGGGCATATTCCTCTCACTTGAATTAAGGTCAGAAATAACCATTATCATTTTTATACCAAACATACATTATTCCAATTATATCAGTACTACTCATTGTGAAGACAACTGAATGAACATTTATACTACAGAAAGTGTGATGGGTTTTGTTATTTTTAGGGAAACAGTTTTGCATTTAACCGAGGCTAAATGTTGCTCTGAGAAATAGCGTTCCCGCTGCTAAATGGTACGGTTACTATTCCATCTCAAAGGTCGTACCAGTCCAAAACTGATGTGGCAATCAGCAATTGTAAAGTGTGTATGAATGGGATGTTAACATGTGACCAGTGCCTAGCATTGTCTCCTGTTTCCACAGTGCTTGAGCTTCCATGAGAATTTGGTCTGGACTATCAGCATTAGAAACTCTCATTGACCCAGTGTTAGGATTAGATAATTATCTAGTCATTTAAACACTTTCCTCTGGTCTTGTGGGGACTTGGCTCAAACAGTGATCAAACAAATTCAAAGGGCATTTCGTTGATCAATCTGGCAGGTAATGACTTGAGTTTTCACACAGAAAATTTTTGGTTTGTCACTTGATCTTATTAAAATGTGACGACCTTAACTTGAAACAGGTGCAAGTATGTCCCTCATCAGATCAAAGGGAAATATTGTTGCCCTGAGGTTATAGCATTTGCTTGTCATGCCAAAAGCCTGAGATCAATTTCCCACATGGGTATAATGTGTGAAGCTCATTCTGGTATCCCCTACCATGATTGACTGAATATTGGTAAAAGTGTTGTAAGACCATACTTAACTATAATTATAAAATAAACAAAGTCAGTTACTTCTTTGTACAGAGAGCTGTTGCTGATGTTTCTAAACCAAAATGCAGGAAGAGAATCATTTCAACAAGATGTGTAGAGCCTGTAAGTCCAGACCAGTGGGTTTGTTTCTAATGCTGAACAGCCTAGTGGCCTGTTGTAGACACAAGCTAGTTTCTGTAGAATGTAGGATTCAAATATGTCAAGAACTAGATGGAATGAAGCATGTGGATGAATTTAAGTGATAATAGAAACAATAATAGCCTTATTTCCACCAGAAACAATTCACACAAAGCTAGATAAATAGTGCTGATTTGCCCATATTGGTTGTGCAATATATGCCAATAACTGCTGATCCAGGACATGTATGCTGCTTATATAAACACATCTCCAAATAGCCAGGTACAAGTCCCGATCACCACCAAACCACTTATTAAAGGTTTTACTATCTGACAAACATACAACTACATTGCGGTTACTAAAACTACACCAACCTAGCGTCATCGAGAAAAGATGAACAGTTGCTCTGGCATTAGGACTTGTTCCATAAAGGGAGTTACTCCAATAGACTGACGGACAATAGTTATAACTTGGATCATTTTGTGGAACCTGGCCCTGTATTGGCCTGGTGCACCCTGGTTAATGCTACACTGTCATTCTGAAGTCAAGGTGTGGTTCTCCACATGGGTACATATTGTGAAGCCCATGTTGGCATCTGCTACTTTATTATGACTGGAATAAACCCAATTCATTCACTGGTCTCATTACTCCCCTGGAACATTATAATTTCAACCAGTAACTATGGATATGATTGGTTGAACCCGTATCGTTATTTAGCCTGTTGTCAGAGTTATCCCACTTCTGGAGTACCGTATATCAGATTAGTCGCATCCCTGGGAATTCACACAGGATGTTGTTAGTTTGAGATATTGGAATCTGTGGAAATAGAACTGAATGAAAGAATGGATATATTTATGAATATTATCTGTATAATAGTTTCACTGTGAAGAGCTTTACCTATGAGTTTAGAGTAGCATGGATATGAACATCTATTTTAATATTTGGTAATGGTTATGATACAAAAAGACTTTCAAATATTTAAATTTTAATGTTATTTTCCAATGTTAACTTCCATAACTCTTGACTACATTTTTAGATAGTTATTTTATTAGAATCAAGTTTTAGATTTAAATTTAATTTCAGTTGAGAGCACACTGCCTGCCACCTTGCTTCCCCGTCTTTGTTGCAAAGTGGAAATGTGTGCCTTGGTTTCTAGTGGTTTAGTTTGCAAGAGAAATTCAATATTGTGATATACATTTTGGATATGCAGTAAGTCCTTCCTATTTCGAATGGAAAGACGCCAAACTTATCACAGGCAGTAGTGGTTATGTACTCATAAGCTGTGGGATCACAGACATCATAACAGGGTATTAATTTTGTAGATTTCACTATTAAAACATACTGTTTTAAAATATCGAAGTCAGTAATTATCTTAAATTGCTAATGTTGCTCTATTGATAAGTTTTCATTTTGACATAAGACCAAACAAATAAGAATGTGACTTCATATAATTGTGAAGTGATTATTTTTTATATACTCTCTCCAAATATGCTCATAAACAGTGCTTATTGCTAAGCAGTCATTAATTAAATAGAGGTGTACCTTCATCAACAATATGAGTTACCTCCCTTTGTAACAAGGTGGGTGGGTGTAAAACTACAACACAATAAGAAATGATTCTGGATTGTAACAGATTTCCTATCAAAACCTGTTAGGTGCTTCTGCCAATGATAAGAGGATGTGCTTACTGCTGCCTGTGCTGTAGGTTTTGGTCATGGTGAGGTGTGTATATAATTTATCGCTGTTGATGTTTGTTAGTGTATTATAACTACTGATTATGTCCACAAACAGCAGCTATTGTTTGACTAATGCATTGTTGTAATATACCTTACGTTACCAAGCTTATCACTGAGTTAATCTAATGGGGAGGAGGGGTCACAAATGGTCCAGAAATTCAAGAATACTTACGAAAAACACTCTTAACTCACTGGACATTTAAACACTGTGCGTGTTGAACTTCACTTCAGTGCATGTATTTACAGAACACAAAACCTAGAAAATTATCTTTGGACTGAAGAAACACATTAAAATAAAGAATATTAAACGTACATTTATTGGAAATTGATCCAAATGTCCATTTGTTTGTGGTGCCATGTTAGAGGTAGAAGATGGAAGTTTAGGTTACACAGTGTTTCTGTTGTCCCAGAGAGTACAAATACATGTACTTATGTGGTACATACTCACCTGACGATGGGTAATCTAGTTGACAGTTAACTGCGACATCCGGTTGCCAGTTAACTGAAATCTGAGTTTGATTTGCAGTAAAGGTTAGCATTGATTCTGTATAAATGTATTAATTTATTCAACTAATTTGGACAATTGGGTCCAGGATGTGGCTAAAACTGGAACCATCTTGATTAAGCATTTTAGTTCATCTTGCAATACTTTATTCTACCGAATAAAGAACGTTCCAGATCATCATGCTGTTGGTTTTGTTTTCTTTGTTGTAACATATACTACTCAAAACAAATTAAAGACCGTCTGATTATTTGTCTTATAAATGCAGTCAAGCAGGTGTTTGAGGCCATACCACTTTTATTTCTTGTTTTACGGATCTGCCAGTCATATTTTTTCAAGAATAAGAAAAAATTAATTTTTACTGCTCAAAAAATAAGATCCTAATGTTTATCGGCCAAAAATCGAAACTTGCAAGAAATTTTCTTTAGTCTGTTTTTTGTCCCATATACACTTCATAAATTGCAAAATGTAAAATACTTTTAGCATTTAAGAGGAATATTACTTTGGTGATTTTTTCAATTTTTCCACCCCTCCTGCCTTTAGGTTTTCTGAGGACAACAATCCGTAAAGCAAGAAATACAATTGGTCTGGCCTGATGGATTTTTGCCACAATTAGAATTCCAGTTTTGTTCTTTAACTTGGTTTGAGTGATTGACATTATGAGCATTAATGAACACATCTGGGATAGGTGACATCAGCCTTTCCAGTTGATCAGGTAATGTAACATGGTGACATGCTATAATGTTAAATGGTACAACTATACCACATAACCTTGACAGGGATATTCTCAATATTTAGGGGGGTTGGTTGGTTGATTTACGCCACACTCAGCAATATTGCAGCTATGTGCAGCGGTCTGTAAACAATCAAGTCTGGATCAGACAATCCAGTGATTGACAGCATGAGTTTCGATCTACACAATTGGGATACGATGACATGTGTCAACCAAGTTAGCGAGTCTGACCACCCGATCCTGTTAGTTGCCTCTTACGACAAGCATGGGTGACTGAGGACCAATTCTAACCCGGTGTAGCAGGCCATTTCTTCCCCAGTCTAAACTTTCGCCGGGGAGAATCTGGCCTAGACCAAACTTTCCCCAGGGAAGTTTTGTCGTAGGATATTCTTACCCCGGGGAAAGTTTGGGCTAGGCTAAAGTCGTTCCCCCGACCCCCCAGGCCAAAGTTTCCCCCTGTTTAAACTAGGATATTTTGTTGTGTTTCCTATGAAAAGGGGGTAGATTCTAGCCTAGCTATTATTATTATTTTTTTATTATATAGCGTGTTTTTATTAAATCCCGTGCACATTTGTCTTTTCGAGGAGCAGTGTAAAAACCGTTCACTATTTCTTCACCAAACTTGGAACATGGATAGATCTGGTGGTGTACTGGTGCCGTTGGTAGTTTGGAATTGTGAATAAAATATTTCCAGGCGTTTCCATGGTCAAGTTCGACTTAGAATGAAATTAGTGGTTGTCTTTTCGAGCAGAACTCTAAAACCGTTCACTATTTCTTCACCAAACTTGGAACATGGATAGATCTGGTGGTGTACTGGTGCCTTTTGGTAGTTTTGGAATTCTGAATAAAATATTTTTGGCGTTTCCATGGCAACAAGTTTGACTTAGCCTGAAATTGGTGATAGTGCTCCTTTCCGGAGCAGAACTCTAAAACTGTTCTATATTTCTTCACCAAACTTGGCACATAGATAGATCTGGTAGTGTACTGGTGCCTTTTGGTAGTTTTGGAATTCTGAATAAAATATTTTTGGCATTTCCATGGCAACAAGTTTGACTTAGCCTGAAATTGGTGGTAGTGCGCTTTTTTCCGGAGGAGAACTCTAAAACCGTTCACTATTTCTTCACCAAACTTGGCACATAGATAGATCTGGTGGTGTACTGGTGCCTTTTGGTAGTTTTGGAATTCTGAATCAAATATTTTTGGCGTTTCCATTGCAATAAGTTTGACATAGACTGAAATTGGTGATAGTGCTCCTTTCTGGAGCATAACTTTAAAAACCGTTCAATACTCTCCTTTGCCTTTTCTATATACACACCTAAATATTTGACATAATCATAACTCAAAGACATAATCATGAAGAGTATTTTGTCATTGCGGGGGATATTGATGACTTTGTCTTCTTGTTATTATAGGATATTTATATAGCGCACATATCCATGTATCTAATACATGCTCAAGGCGCTGACATTTTTTCCCCTCGATCACTGGATGTCAATCTCAACTGCACATTGTATTATCAATCTCAACTCCCCGGGGAGTATACAACTCTTGCAGCCACTAGGCGCTATGAGTTATTGCGTTTTTTCTTATCCTTACGAGGTACCCATTCACAGCTGGGTGGACTGGGACACATTTTCACAGTACTTTGTCGAAGTTCACTGCACGTTGCTGTACCCACAACTAAGTGTTTGCACGTGTTCATGTGGCCACCATCTGGTCATATACCAACAGATTCATGGGTTCTTTTAATTGCACAGGGTTGTGTACTGTACACTAGGGATTGTGACAACCACTGAAAGAGTCTTCACACAAAGTTGACTCCAAGGTTTTTACACCCGGTCACAGGTGGGCTCAATCTCGTCACCTCAAACTCGCCGGATCACCAGCCTGGCGCCTTAGCCAGCTCACCCACAGCATCCCCCAGGGAAGTTTTGTCGTAGGATATTCTTACCCCAAGTTTGGGCTAGGCTAAAGTCTCTCTCCTCCCTCCCTCCCTAGCCTAGCTAGACTACTTCTTCCCCACCATTGCTCTTATATCAAAAGGGGAGAACAAGTTATTACAAACATCAAACTGACATTAGTTTTGACTTAAATTTTAGTACACATTTTTGCCAAATAGTCCATTCTTGCCTCTCACTTGGGTGTAGTGATTTGAATGCATACGTGTTTGAACAGCATATATCTATAAATCCATCCTGCTCCAGCTGCCATTCCTATGAAGACACATTGCATTAGTTCTTCATCTGTCCAAATCATGTCACCATAAGATGTAAACATTCAATTGAACATTTGATGTGTAACTAAGATGTAATATGCACAGGTTGCTTGCTCTCTTATCATGCTGTTTATTATCTAATATTTGATGTATTTATGTACATGTAAAAATGTAATGGAACATTATTCACATAAGCTTGTTTACTAATCCATAATCACTTTTGGTGAATGATGATATGATTCAGATATGCATGGGCCAAGTATACCCCTTATCAAACCTAGTCTGTCTCACAGTCCCTGAACCACATTATTTTCTCTACTGCCAAGACCTCTCTGCAGCGCTAAAGCCCTAAATAAACCTCCTCAGGTTCTTAATCTCTGGTCGCCCTGGGGCTTCTTTTCAATTTATATGGGCTTCTTTGTTATTATCAATATTATATATATTCAGAGACTAAGCATTAGTCTATATTGTATAGGGGCGGTGGGTAGCCTAGTGGTTAAAGTGTTGGCTCGTCAATCCGCTGAAGACCCGGGTTCGATTCCCCACATGGGCACAATGTGTTAAGCCCATTTCCGGTGTCCCCCCACCGTGATATTGCTGGAATATTGCTAAAAGCGGCGTAAAACTAAACTCAGTCAGTCAGTCAGTCATATTGTGTTGGGTTGTTGTGTTGATGTTTACAGCTGCTTCCAACAGTTAAGTTGATGTTGCTTACGTGGATGCCATATTTAAAGCCATGAGTGAGGGAATAAAATTTTGAATGGATATGGACATCCAGGTAAAAACTGTGTATTTAGTTAAAGTTTCAAATATAATAATGATTTTGAGATAAGCCAATTTGGAATAAATTGGGATAAGTAAATTATATTTTATATTTTAGTACTCATGTCACAGAGATACATATTGATACAAAACCAAAACCACATGGACACTGGATAAACCAAACACTGTCACAAATGGACACTGGATAACCCAAACACTGTCACAAATGGACACTGGATAAACCAAAAACTGTCACACATGGGCATTGGATAAGCCAAACACTGTCACACATGGACACACTGGATGGAAAGCCAAACACTGTCACACATGAAAACTGGGGAAGCCAAACCAACATGGAAAGTGGATAAGCCAAACATGTCACAAATGGATAAGCCAAACACTGTCACACACATGGGCAAACAGTGGATAAGCCAAACACTCACAAATGGACACTGGATAAGCCAAACACTGTCACACACACACACTGACACTGGAAGGATAAGCCAAACACTGTCACACATGGAATGGACACTGGATAAGCCAAACAAAATGGACACTGGATAAGCCAAACACTGTTACACATGGAAGTTCGATAAGTCACACATGGACACATGGGATAAGCCAAACACTGTCACATGTGGACACTGGATAAGCCAAACACTGTTACACAGTTCGATGGACACTGGATAAGCCAAACACTGTCACACATGGAAGTCACGATAATAAGCCAAACACTGTTACACATGGAAGTTCGATAAGCCAAACATGGTCACACATGGACACTGGATAAGGCAAACAACACTGTCACAAACACTGGAAGTTCGATAAGCCAAACACTGTCACACATGGACACTGGATAAGCCAAACACTGATAAGGCAAACACTGTCACACATGGACACTGGATAAACCAAACACTGTTCGATAAGCCAAACACACATGGACACTGGATAAGCCACACACTGTCACACATGGAGACAATACATTTCAAATTAGAGTCATGGTGAGGTGAAAGATTTTCCTTCAAAATGTTTAACGTCGCACGTATTACTGAGCGCGAAACATCTCTGACAGCACATTACTGGTGCCCATGGATTTCACCAACGTCTGAGACGTGCAAAACTTGAGCTTTCCTGAACTCGATGGCGAGCCCTTATATTAGTTCAAAGCGTTCTAATACGTGTAAAATTAAACCTCCTCATTGCAAACAATCTGCTCATGTACGTTTTGACGAGTGGTCGTTACAAGACAGTATTAATGATTATTATTCCACAGTCTGAAACGCCAATTCGAAGCGTTCATAATATCCTTTTTACTAAACAAGGGAGACTACTCTTTCGGGCTAATATGTGGTATAGCTAGCATTCTGAATAATGTGTGCCGTTGATTCATCTTTAGAACAAGCCAAATCTAAAATTGTCATTGGGTCACTAACAGCAGAAGCACCGTACTATTAAACACCTAGTCTCTCATCA